TGCTACTTCAGGCAAAAACTTCAGCTAAAACATGCTGAAGTTCAGCAAATAGAGAACAAAACTTCAGCTAGTAGAATGCTTAAGTTCAGCAATTACAAACAACTTCAGGCCCGTCTACTAGAATGGTGAAGTTTACGTGCTTGCCTTTGCTACTTCAGGCCTGTATGCCTAACGTTTACGCGAAAAGTGGGTACGCTTGCAATTTTTTTTTCAAAGCGGGTATAAGTTAAAACGTGACCCAAAAAGCAGGTATAGATGCAAATCCCCCAGAATTGCACCTTAACTTTTTAGCCTTTTCACTATCAGCTCATGTCGCGTCTTAATTTTCATTTAGATAATTAAGTTTTGAGAAAATTTCTTACTCTTAATTCTACATTTTAGATTGGGGAAACTACCAGCTATGTCCATTTATAAGCAGCTCATTACAAATATTAGCCAATTCATAAAATAATACTAATATTAGCCAAATATTACTAATATTAGCCAACTAGCTATTTATAATAATAAAAAAGGTCAAATTTTTGCTTTCTTTTGAGTGGGTGTTATTAGAATAGATTGAGTACATCTTAAGGAGCTTGAATCTTAGTTTTGGAATGATTTGGTGAAGTTTTGAGGTGGTTTGAATTGAAAATTCGAAGTAAAAACTCAACATGAAAAAAAAATGATATGTGTATCACATATGTATCATATATGTATCAATTGTGTATCACATGTATATCCATGTATACCTCTGTGTGTGATACATGCGTGATACATGTTTGATACATGTGTCGCAAAAGAATTTTTTAAACTCGATTTGATTACGAATTTTGATACAAAACCAGTCCAAATCACCTCCAATCTTCCTCAAATTTTGTATATTGACTTATCTATATGTTTTCAATGAATTTCAACTATACTCATTAAAAAGATTCCTTTTTTGCTTAGATTTTTGGAATATTTTTTTTGTATTTCATCACCTTATTTGCTACCTCATTCGTGAAATTTGATTTTCGTCTTGCATCTAATGTTGCTAATCACGCTTAAAATATGGAAGGAGATTTTTGCATGTGATTCTTTGAGAGAAAGAACCTTATTTATTTGGTTTTTCAATTTTTATATGTGCTTGGCTAGTTTGGTAAGTCTATAATTTATGGCTAGAGGTTAATAAGTTGAGACTTATTTGCGACATTTGTGTAAGTTTCCCTTTAGATTGCACCTAAATGACTAAGGCAATATGTGGGCTTACTTCTACTGGCTAGTTGTCTCAAAATTTTCGCTGAATGGGATTTTAGTTCGGATTTTTACCAAATTATTCTATATTAGAAATTTAATTACCTATCTTCTCTATGTGTTGTAGTTTTTAATAAGTATTTAGATTTTTCTTACAAATTATGTAAATTGCTCCTTAAAAGGTTCACACCCCATTATTAGTTTCTTCAATTAAGAGATTCAATTACATCATTTCCTTTTTTCCCCTCTCCTTTTCTCTCTCCTTCCTTTTTACATCAAAATCCCTTAATTTACGCCATAATCTCTATCTTTTCTCTTCTCACCATTGCCAACAACTTTATATTATTAAAAATCATTAATTGTATCGTTCTTTCGCTGGGAGATTGGACAACACTGAAAATGAAAAAATATTCAGGAATTGTATGATAATTGTATCATAATTGTATTTGAATTATATCAGATACATCAATGCCTAAAATATAATTATATCATATTTGTATCACAATTGTATCTAACTTGTATATGGTACATTAATACCCAAAATAATACCCCATATAATACTAATAAATTAATATATAATTAACATATATTTTTTATACAAATCGTAAAATTCTTCACGAATCACAACTGCTCGCAACAATATACAATGAATATACAATTATCATACATTTATAATACAATCCGTTCAACAATTATGATGCATATACAATTATAATACAATCGTGATATATTCCCGAAAAATGTGATACAATTATGATCTTCTTCTTCTTCAAGTTTCAATCACAACTCTATACTAAAAATCTAATATAATCGTACTATAATTGTATCAGTATTGTATCAAGTATTATTTTTGGGTATTGATGTATCATATACAAGTGACATACAATAAAGATTTTAGAAAACAAGAAAACAAGAGAGAAATCGGATAAAAAAAGCTTTGGAAGAGGAAAGAATATACAATTTTGGGATTATAATAGTGGATGATTGAAAGAGAGAAATCGGATATCAAAAGCTTTGGAAGAGGAGTGAGTAAGCGAGATTTTTGGGTTAGAAAAATTTTGGGTATCAGTAGGAGAATTCTTACGATGGATAAGTACAAATATGGGTAATTGTTAAAGAAAGAGAGAAGAATCTTAAATGTAGGGGGATTATATGTAACTGATACGCTATATTTAAGGTATGTTTCATTTCCTCCTTTTTATGATTTTGTATAAAACTAGTAAATATAGGTATATAAAGTAATTAACATTAAACCAAAGTAAATGTAGTAATAGGTTTCTATTATAGTATAGCTAGGTAAAAATCACATTTTAGTTTCAGATCATATTGTATGGGCTGTTAAGACATCTTTTCATTTGGGGTCACTTTTAGCCCGTGCCAGAATTTATTTATATCTGGTAGCCGAAAAAATATATAAAATTTATATAATTTTTGTATATAATATACAAAATGTATATATATACCGCAGCTATACAATAATTATACAAAATTTATATTATTTTCGACTATTATTTTTACCGCAAATATACAATAATATCATTTTTCCTTTTCATTTCATTGGTTTTGGGCTTACGGAGGTAACTGGAAGTCTGCTAGGATTTAGGAAGTTCCAATGTTCAAGCATTTGGTCAATACTATTTTAGTAAACTAGTTTTACATAGCTTTGTATATACTAGCTGGGGTTATTTTGTTCCTTCTTTCGCATTCATGGCTACCTTTTTCTTTGCTATTTCTTGGTTTTTTTTTATTTTACTGTACTTGTGGAAACCGGATAAATAATTTAGAACGCATGGGTAGGAGTAGTAAATAATTTGGGTCTCGGCATCAAAGGGTAAATAGTTTGGAATTGATGGCTATAAAGTGAGATTTTCTTTATTTTTTTTTACCAGGGCATTAAGTACAAAATATTATTTTATGGAAGGTAACTTTTAATTTTAGGTTGAGGATAATTTGATCATTCAATTTTTGAAGGATATTATAGTAAATTAATTTCACCTAAAAGTCTTCATGCTTATAATATAGTCTAACTCATATTTCAAATTTATTTATCAAATTGCATTTAGACTTAGATATGATGTTCGTTCAATTACGTTCACTTTTCTATTGCCTTAATGTTTTCTTCTGTTGCTTATATAAGAGCAATATATATACTTCTTCCGGTCCACAATAAGTGACCAATTTACTTTTTTATTTTGGTCCAAAATAAGTGTTCATTTATATAATCAAGAAAAAAAATTCAATTTATTTTTTTAAAATTACCCTAATGTACTATAGACATCGAAATTTTAAGGGATCAAGCCAAATCCTAAATTAAAGATACTACATGACTCTTGAAATCCTAAGAGTCCATTAGGGTTTCTTGGAGGTTACTCTACCGTAAACCTTAACTCACACCAATATAAAGGGATACATATTCCTTTGAAGAGGGGTCTCAAAATCCCATAAACTATTGGGATACTCACAAAAAGATCAAAATATGGCTGGATACTTCTTGACAATCAAATAGTTCAAGAAACTGGAGATCAAATGCATCCCCAAGAGGTCTGCATCATCCTACATTCGAGAAATACATGGCTTCAGCCCTCGAATCACGGAGATAATCAGGAGAGAAGAACCAAGGGAACAAACGGAGTTGTAACCCGCAATGTTTATCAATAAAATCACTTTATTCTTTTGTGGTGAAGATTTTTCATATGTTGAAAATTAGTTCCAAACAAATTGGCACGCCCGTTGGGACTAGTTCTGCCCTTCATCTCTTCCTCCTGTAAATCGAAAACTGCAAGTTTCAAAGCCATTTGTCACGATGATAGAGTACTTCAAGTCTGATCTTAAAGTTTCGGCAAGTCTACACCCCAACAAACCTTAAAGTAGGGGGCATTTGTAGACATCAAAATTTTAAGGGATCAAGCCAAATCCGAAATAAAGATACTATAGGACTCTTGAAATCCTAGGAGTCTATTAGGGTTTCTTGGAGGTTACTCTACCTTAAATCCTAACTTACACCTATATAGAGGGATACATATTCCCTTGAAGAGGGGTATCAAAATCCCATAAACTCTTGGGATACTCACAAAGAGATCAAAATATGGTTGGATACTTCTTGACAATCAAATAGTTCAAGAAGCTTGAGATCAAATACATCCCTAGGAGGTCTGCATCATCCTACATTCGAGAAATACGCGGCTTCAGCCCTCGAATCACGGAGATAATCAGGAGAGAAGAATCAAGGGAACAAACAGTGTTGTAATTCACAATGTTTATCAATATTTGTGGTTGCAGTTTATTTTTCATATGTTGAAAATTAATTGCAAACATGTACGTATCCTTAAAAAGTTATTTCCTCCTCACATTTGAGAAGAAAAGTAAGTGCTATTATAACTATGGTACAATATTTAGTGAAGGGTAGTTTAGTTATACTAACTATTTTCGTCTAGAATTTAGTATCTCCTTAATGGGTGTGCCCAATGCAAATTGATCACTTATTGTGGACCGGAAGGATTATATATTAAGAGTTTCTTTGATATTACTATATGGATATTACCCTTAAATCAGAGACTTTAATTGGAGCCTTTAAGAATGAAAAAAATTTGGGTAGATCATTTAGTACCCTATACAATACAAATTCGAATTAGCCAGTGTTAGTGAGTCTACCCTATACAATAGTAGAAGGTTAAATTACAAAGTTTCCTTTGACTGTCTTATTGAGGGCCTACCTCTTTTAGCATTGTTTATCCATTCATCATTTCCACCATACCCCCGCCCTAGTTAAAAAAGAAAAGGAGCTATCTAATAATAAGGGAACATGTGGCAATTGTAGTGAAGGACGAGCGGAGCCGTCTTTGATTCCCACCCCAACGTTGGAAAGCTAGAGTAAAGAACGTGCTGGCACGGTCAGATAATCGAAAAAGGTGGAGAGAGAGCTAAAAGCAGTTGTACAGTTTTCAAATCAGTTTCCCCTTCCCTTCCATCATTTTCACCTTTCCATAACACAAATCCCACCTTCCTTACCCGCCATGGCCGACCTCAAAGAAACCTACGCTTGCATACCTTCCACAGAGCGAGGTCGCGGTATTCTCATTTCGGGTGACCCGAAATCGAACTCCATCCTTTATTGTAATGGCCGATCCGTGATTATCCGGTACCTCGATCGCCCGCTCCAAGTAGCCGTTTACGGGGAGCATGCTTATCAGGCTACCGTCGCTCGTTATTCTCCCAACGGTGAGTGGATCGCATCCGCTGACGTATCTGGTACTGTTCGGATCTGGGGGACCCACAATGACTTCGTTCTTAAGAAAGAGTTTCGGGTACTATCGGGTCGGATCGATGACCTTCAATGGTCTCCTGATGGATTGCGCATTGTTGCTTCTGGTGATGGAAAGGGCAAATCCCTTGTTCGCGCCTTCATGTTAGTTTCCCTTCTATTTTTTTTAAATAAATATTTTACTGGTTCCGAATGGATTAGTACTGTGTTCTGAATTGTCCACATATCATTACATTACTTTTATTTAGGAACACTTATCAATTACCTAATGCTTTCTGAAAACTTGATGAATTTACTCGTGGGAAATAAAGATAAAATCATTTCATTTCAAGTTTGTTAAATATTAAAAAGCTATCAGGACACAGTTGTTCAATCGAGTGATAAATTTCGCTGAAAGTACTGCTCCAAAAGGAAAGCACTTTACTAAAAGTTGTGATGATATTGCTAATGGCCTGACATTCGACCCTGAAGCTCTTATATTAATTTTGTTAAGGCAACCTTAAAATTTTCCTTCTAACATTTTTAGCTGCATTTTGGGAAATGTCATGTTTAAATGTTGTCTCCTTAACATAATGTGTGACGTTGTTGACTAGCATGGAGAACTAAGAGACCGAAGTTTGAAAGGGCTATTATTTGAGCGTATCACAGATACTTAAAGACAATAACTGGAAGATGTGACAAAACACAAAACATTTCACATCAAGCATAACAAAACACATGTAATTATTGTATGTTAATTTGACCTTTTGATGATTATAATTTTGCCATTTAACTGAGAAGGTCAAACAACGCCGTACGGATTAAAGGGGAGTCTAAGTCATTATGTTAGCCTATTCTTTCTCTGTAGCATTATAACCACGTCTGTAGTTTGAGGCGGGTAGCTAGGGCATCGTGTGAATTGGAAAAAGAAAAAGAACCGCGTGCGATGGAAATACTTTTCTTAGTGAATTTAGTGGTGAAGGATTTTGTATATGTGCCTTTTCTTTGCATTCTAGTCTAGAACACATTTTAGCACATTTTAAAGTGCCCTTATGTGCTTTTTATGTCCTAAATATTGCTATCTGTGCATATCCAATATCCTTGTTTGATGAACTATCTTGGCAGGTGGGACTCGGGAACAAATGTGGGTGAATTTGATGGCCATTCAAGGAGAGTTTTGAGTTGTGCATTTAAGCCTACAAGACCATTTCGCATAGCCACGTGCGGGGAAGACTTTTTGGTGAACTTTTATGAAGGACCCCCATTTAAATTCAAGCTGTCTCACAGGTTCCTTAGCTTTACTGTTATGTTAAATCAGAATAAGAGTCTACTTTTCTTTTTTAATATCAATACATGGTTATCGTTTTTTCCAAAATTTTATTGAAACAAGCAGAGAGAAACGAGTTCATTGATAGACAGTAAGGTAGTAACCAGGAGAGAAGACTGACAATGTCAAAAGACAATAGGACCTGTCTTTTTCTGAAAATAAATCACTTTTCCATGCTATAATGAGGACTATCATGGGTCTACCAACTTGGTCTACATGAGAAAGCCATTCCTGTAGTTTTGTAGCTTGCATCATGCTTGTACCATATATGCCCTTTCTCATCCACCTTTTACAGTACATGTTGCAATGTGGCTTTCGTCCCCTGTCTACTGCCTTGTAGAAGTAAGACCAATCTAAAGGAAATAAAACAACAGTGATAGTTGCAGTCCAAATTCAGCCACTTGATATGTTCTTAGAACAACCCGTCTAACATAAGTATGATTGCCGTCATAGCTAACATGTTGGTAATAGTTGTGATTGAAGTGTCATTGTTCCATGGACCTGCAGGGAGCATTCAAATTTTGTTAATTGTTTGAGGTTCTCTCCAGATGGAAGCAAATTAATCAGTGTAAGCTCTGACAAGAAGGGCATTATCTATGATGCTAAAACAGGAGATATAATTGGAGAGCTGTCATCTGAGGATGGTCATCAAGGAAGCATATATGCTGTTAGTTGGAGTCCTGATAGTAAACAGGTGATCTTTTGTTCTTCCGTGCTAGTTCACTTTCATTTAATTTCCCTGTTGACCTGTATTTCAATGTTTAGTAATTTATTCCCTTGAGAGTGCTGAGCCACTTGAATATGCCAATATTCATTGTAGTTATTGGCGAGGAGTATGTTATATTACACTATTTTTATGGCTGGCTTTCTCATTTTGAAAATTCATTATACTGTTCTCCTTTTTGGCTAACTCTACGGAATCTTTTTCATCGTAAGTGCTAAAGGAACCAGCTTGGATGAAAATTAAAAACTGTAGCTTGTCAGTCTACTATCACGGTGCATCTGTCTTTTTTGCACTATTAATCTAAGTTGCTCCAACACGGCAGTTTAGGTGCCGCACCTGTGTCGACACGACACTAGTATGGGTGTGGGTATGAGATCCATACTCGATTTGGTCAAACAATTTTGGGTACTTTGATCACAACGGACGGAAAAATTCGAGATGAGGTACAATTGATTACCAAAATCATAACCAAAAAGAGGGCAAATTTAAAGAAAATTGCATACCTTATCTAGGAAATCAATTACTTACTTATCTACAACTTGAGAATAATAAAGAAATCCACGCTTTACAAGCTATACGTTCCACAAAATTTCTCATAATTTAGAGATATTTTTATTTTTTTGAATTATTTTTGGCCGGATCTCCGCATCCATATCCGTACTAGGATCCGTATCCCCAAATCGTAGAATTTACATCTCGAAGGATCCGCACCCGTGTCGGACACCCCCTCACGTGTCCGAGCAGCTTAGCTATTAATGCTTCTTGTAATGAGTAATTGAGTATACATACATGGTCTGATGGTTTGTATATTTCAGGTACTCACTGTTTCTGCTGACAAATCAGCAAAAGTATGGGACATATCTGATGATGGAAAAGGGAAAGTGAAAAAGACACTGACTTCTCCTGGTTCAGGTGGAGTTGAGGACATGCTAGTTGGCTGTCTTTGGCAAAATGATCACCTTGTTACTGTTTCTCTTGGTGGAACTATTTCCATATTCTCAGCAAGTGATCTGGAAAAATCCCCCGTGTCATTTTCTGGACACATGAAAAATGTTAATTCCTTAGCTGTCCTCAAAAGTGACCCAAAAATTATGTTGTCTAGCAGTTATGATGGTTTGATTGTTAAATGGATTCAAGGTATCGGATATAGCGGAAAGTTAGAGAGAAAGGTGAATTCTCAAATTAAATGCTTTGCAGTTGTGGAAGGAGAAATTGTGTCATGTGGATTTGACAATAAGGTGAGTTGTAAGATCTCCTTTTTCTTTTCTTCTGTATATATATAAGTAGGTTATTTGTGAAGTTTATTTTTTGTGAATAGAAGAAGCCCTCTCACAGATCTGGCTAGTGCTTTATTGATGCTATGATTCCATCTGATTTTATTTAAAAAATTTTAAAAGGAAAGTACTTGCTTAACTCTAATCTTGTAAAGCCAGCTTTAGAATTTAAACAGAGGAGATTCCCTTGATGCTTCTGAGAAAGAAAAAAGATTAGAGATTACAATCACTCATCTAACTACCTAAGCATAAATTATTTATCCATTTACATGATGGGAGTAGTTATTTCTCCATGCGTATGTACCATACTGATTTATGTAGCCTTAATTGTTGAAAGATCTAACAGAAGGACTATTTTGCCGTTTACATTAATTGCATCACTTTTACCAGTAATTTGATTAGGTGATATTCCCAGTTATATTGTCCCTTTTCATCTTCTTGAGCCGAGGGTCTATCCGGAAACAACCATTCTACCCCCACCAGGGGTAGGGGTAAGGTTTGCGTACACACTACCCTCCCCAGACCCCACTTGTGGGATTTTATTGGGTTGTTGTTGTTGTTGATATTCCCAGTTATAGTTGAGTAGATACTTATATTGTGGGATTTCAAAGATCTTTACCTGTTTTATGTGTGATTAGAGCGTAATACTATGGATTTTTATAGTCTTTCCCTGCTTTTCTATGTTTTCTTATTTCCTTGGGCTAAAAACAATGATGCTCATACAATTTTGTTAAATCAAACAAAAGTGGAGTTCTTGGCAACAGGCTATAATGCAATTTTTTGCTTCTTGATGGGACTTAGATCTGGAGAGTGTCTCTGCTTGGAGATCAATGTGGAGATGCAAATTCTATAGATGTCGGCAACCAACCTAAGGACTTGAGCCTTGCCCTTAGTTCTCCTGAAGTGACTCTAGTTTCTTTTGATACTGGAGTCATTCTTCTCCGTGGTACAAAAGTGCTGTCAACCATAGGCCTTGGATTTACTGTGACAGCATCTGCTATTTCACCTGATGGAACTGAAGCTATAGTGGGTGGTCAGGATGGTAAACTGCGCTTGTATTCCATCACAGGCGATACTCTCAACGAAGAAGCTGTCCTTGAAAAACACAGGGGAGCTATTACTGTCATTCGGTACTCTCCAGATGTTTCCATGTTTGCATCAGCAGATGTGAACCGAGAAGCAGTTGTCTGGGACCGTGCATCTCGTGAGGTAATAATTATCATTTTCATAGTCAACATTAGCTATATCATACATTCCGTAACTAATAAAGAGTTTCTGTTTTAAAGGTGAAGCTTAAGAATATGTTATACCATACTGCCCGAATAAATTGCCTGGCCTGGTCACCTGATAACACTATGGTAGCTACTGGATCTCTGGACACGTGCGTTATCATATATGACATCAGCAAGCCAGCTTCGAATCGAATCACGATTAAAGGAGCTCATTTGGGTGGAGTATATGGACTAGCTTTTACTGATGAACACAGTATAGTGAGTTCTGGCGAGGATGCTTGTGTTCGTGTATGGGGAATAACTCCACAATAATTGAGATTGCTTAATAAGCAATTGAGGAGTTCATATTTGCACATTAAGTTATTATGAGTCGGCCGGAATGCAGTTTGAGCTTTGAAATGTTGGTTGGCCTCAACTTAGGACAGCCCTATGAATGGTGCCATTACTTGTAATCATGGTAAATAGGGAAACACCAAGTTGAGTGTTTTCCCGAAGAATCATCACACTTCCCTATATACAAGAAGGTACTCTTATTTTCTTAATGATGTAAAAAAAAATCAAATAGTTCAAGTTGGATTTGTTTCAACCACGGAAGGCTTTGTCTGGGTAGTGAGACCATAGCAGGCTGTCGAGTTGGGATTTTTGTCTTTGAGCATCACAAGACTATTGGCCGCCATTCTCGTTAAAGTTGCGTCGTGTTTCTGTTTTTGCTTCTTACATTTGTATGTATGCATTGATTTTATGTAATTTGTCATTCCAATTATAGGTTTTCGGTTACATTTTCAATTTTTGGTGTTATGATGATGCAAGCGTGATCTTATTGCTCAAGCTTTTATAGGGATTTGCAGTGTTTTGGTCGTATTTGTAAGTTGTGACGTCTTTTCCGTTATGTTGGCCTTTGATTGTGCTCATTTTTCACTCCATTATGTGAGTAACACCCTAAGTCATTATTTTGTTCCTCATTTTTCTTGCATAAGATTCCATGAATTCTAGTATTATTTTACGTATATTTGCTATTGAGGTAGTTTCAAGTTTAAGTTAATCTTTGAGGTCCAGAAAAAGGTCACTCATCCCAAACTTATGTCATTTGTAACGTGTGTGCAAATTTCAGGTCATTCGGACGAGATTTGATAGACTTTTTGATCGAAAGCGAAATTTGGACGTTTTTTGAATTCTTAGGTTAGAATCCGATGATGATTTGGTGTTTTGATGTTATTTTGAGCGGTCCGAATGTTGGAACAAGTTTGAATGATGTTATGGGATATGTTGGCATATTTGGTTGAGGTCCCGAGGGCCTCGGGTGGTTGAACGGACCAAATCTTTATGTGGGAAATTGCAAAAAATCTACTGTTGGTGTTGCAAACTTTTGGCCTTCGCGTTCGCGAAGGGATGTGGTATGAGGCAGGAAGTTTGGCCTTCGCGTTTGCGATGTTGGTCCAGCATTCGCGAAGGGTTAGGTTCAGTGTAATGATTGTAAATACTGTCCTGAGGGTATGAAACCCCGAATTTCACATCGTTGTGTAACCTTGTGGTGACACACACGCCAGATGACGAGCGTGGAGTCGTGCACCGTTGGGGATTGTGACTTAGTCCGTCCCGTATGACTGTTAAGTCGTGTATTTGATTGAAAACTGTTTGATATCATTGTGTTTTGGAAAGTATCATCATGTTTTGGGCTGAATGCCTTATTTAGGCCTCGTGCCAACTGTTTTGGACCCTTACGGGATTTTTACTACTATTCATCACTGTTTTGACTTCATATTTGTACTCAGTCATGCTGTATTCTACTGTTTTCATAACTCACCCATATTTACTCCGTTTTGATATTTTAAATGATATTTTGGGCTGAGCATCATGTTTTACTGTTGCCCGAGTGGCTTGAGAGATTTCTGACTAAGTGAGGTCGAGGGCCTGTGTTGTGAGGATATTTGGGATCGGGTTGCGCACCGCAGCAGTGTTGTACTGATTCATGATTATGAGGCCAATGACCTGATTTGTTACGCCACGAGGTGGCTTGTTTTGAGGCCGAGGGCCAGTTTGATTATGCCACGATATGACTTGTTATAGCGCTTGAGCTGTAGGTGCACCTCCGGAGTCTATACACCCCCAGTGAGAGCGGGTACCCAGTGTGAGATGTGATATTGCCCGAGGGGCTGTTATTGTTTCATGTTATTGCCTGAGGGGCTGATACGAGTGATTGTGAGGTAGCTCAAGGGGCTGGTTCTGTTGGTATTTTTCCCGAGGGGCGATTATGGTACTTGTTTTGCCCGAGGGGCTGATTTATGTTACTATCCTTTTTTCACTATTTTCATCACTCGTTTGAACTACTGAAAGATGTTTTAAAAAGGTTTTTACTGAACTGAGACGTTTTCACGAGTTTTACTATTTTACTGCATTGTTCTGGATTTATATTGTTTTATTGTAGTATTATGCTATGGTTTACGTATTCTTATTTCTCAGCTTCTTTACTTTTATTACTTACTGAGTTGGCGTACTCACATTGCTCCCTGCAACCTGTGTGCAGATTCAGGAGCCTCGGGTCACGCTAGCGAGTGTTGATTGTCTTCCAGCAGGCTTTTGGAGTTGACTAGGTAGTTGTTTGGCGTCCGCAGCCTAGTGCTTCTCCTTCCTATCTTTATTCTGTTTTGTATTAGCTTGATTCAGACTATGTTGCCTTTTCATATTTCTAATCGAGTCGTAGTTGCTCATGATTGGTGACACCCCGATGTCGGGCTGTATTTTATTTCCGCACCGTTCTATTCTACCTTACATTTAGGGATTCTAGCTTATAATAACTTTAAATGACTTATTATAATTGTTTGGCTGGTTTTTGGGGTTTGTGTCGGCTGGCCTAATTTCAGGATAGGCGCCATCACGGCTGGATCCGTTTTAAGGTTGTGACACCTACAGAGTATCCACACATGATGGTAAGAGATATTTTGTTACCCTGATTGATGATTACACGAGGTATACTTGGATTTTTTTCCCTACAATCTAAGTCAGAAGCTATAGTAGTTCTAAAAAGTTTTCTTAGTCAAGTAAAAAATGTGTTTTCTGCTACTGTAAAGTTTCTAAGAACTGATAATGGAAGTGAGTTTTTTAGTACTGAATTTAAGACTCTACTATCTAATCTTGGTATCTTTCATCAAAGTACATGTGTCTATACACCCCAACAGAATGGGGTAGCAGAACAAAAGCACAGAATCATCATGGAAGTGGCTAGATCCCTCAGATTTCAAGTTGTTATACCTTTGAAATTTTGAGGGGAATGTGTTACTACTGTAGTATATTTGCTCAATAAACTTCCTTCAAACGTTGTTGGATAAAAATCATCATTTGAGATGTTATATTTACATCCTTCTTCATTGTCTCATCTCAAAGTCTTTGGCTGCTTGTGCTATGCAACTTGTCCCCAAGTACAGGATAAGTTCTCACCCAGAGCAATACCTGTTGTATTTTTAGGATATTCTTCCACTCAGAAGGGTTATTTGCTGTATACTTTGCACTCAAAAACATTCATTGTCAACAGGAATGCTGTATTTCAGGAGAATATTTTTCCTTTCAAGCATGTCACAACCACTGGAAGTCCTATTTCCTATCCTAGACTTGTTCTCTCCTGCTCTAAGCAATATTCCTTCCTCTTCTTCTGCACCACCAACAACAGAGTTGTCTATTGACTTCAATTCAGATCAGATGCCTACAAATATATCTCAGAGAGTCCCTCATTCCACAACAAGTTCAGAAGAAGCTGCTTCTATGTTTCCTTCTACTGATGATCCCTTGCCTAATGTCACTCAAACTGCACCTGTACCTTCTCCACAAGCTGCTGAGCTTCCTACTGAACAAAGAAGATCCTCTAGACCAAGCAAGCCTCATCTTTGGCTGCAAGACTATGTCACTACTTCCAAAGGATCCAACTGTGCCTACCCTATATCCTCTTATGTGGATTATTTTTTTATTGCCCCATCATACAAACAGGTCCTTGCAGCTTATTCAACTCTTATAGAACCAACTTCCTTCAAAGAACCTGCTTCTGATCCTCAATGGATAGCAGCAATGAAGTTGGAAATTGAAGCACTTGAAGACAATTACACTTGGAGTGTTGTTGACTTGCCACCAGGAAAGACTCCCATTGGGTGCAGGTGGGTTTACAGAATCAAATACAAAGCCTCTGGTGAAGTGAAAAGGTTTAAAGCTAGGCTAGTAGCCAAAGGCTATAGCCAGAAGGAAGGATTGGATTATGGAGAAACTTTCTCTTCTGTGGCCAAAATTGTAACTGTTAGATCTATTATTGCTTTAGCTTCTTCAAGCCAGTGGGTGATCTTTCAAATGGATATCCACAATGCCTTTCTGAATGGAGATCCCACTGAGGAAGTTTACATGGAATTGCCTGAGGGGTTTGCCAGACAGGGGGAGTCTAGGAAGAAGGTCTGCAAACTACATAATTCACTCTATAGACTAAAGAAGGCACCAAGGCAGTGGAATATGAAGTTGACATAATCTCTGCTCAACATGGGCTTTCAGCATAGTCATTATGATTATTCTTTGTTCACAAAGAAAGATGGAGATGATATAGTTGTCATATTGGTCTATGTTGCTAACCTCCTCATCACTGGGAACAATCAGCAACTATTATGCAGTACTAGATCAGATCTTATGAAGAAATTCAAGATGAAGGAGGTGAGCTCAAATTCTTCTTAGGAATTGAGTTTGCAAGGTCCAAAAGAGGGATTCTTATGTGCCAAAGAAAATATGTATTAGAGTTAATTTCTGAGTCTGATTTGAGTGGTGCAAAGCCTTCTGGAACACCACTAGAACTGAATCAAAAGCTAACCTCAGTAGAGTATGATAATCACTTAAAAAATGACAATGTCCAAACAAATGAAAATCTTGACAATCCTGGTGCTTATCAAAGACTAATTGGAAGGCTGTTGTATCTTACCATGACAAGACCTCACATTGCTTTGTGGTTCAAGTACTCATTCAGTATATGTATTGTCTTAAGAGGTCTCACATGGAAGCAGCACTAAGGGTTGTAAGGTACATAAAATAAGCTCCTGGCTTAAGCCTCTTCTTGTCTGCAGAATCTTCAGATCAACTAAGTGCCTTTTGTGATTCAGACTGGGGGCATGTATACAAACTAGAAGGTCAGTTACAGGGTACTTGGTAAAGTTTGGAAGTGCACTTATATCCTCGAAGTCGAAGAAGCAGAGCACTGTGTCTAAGAGCTCTACTGAAACTAAGTTTAGAAGCATGACTTCATGTGCATCAGAAGTTACCTGGCTGGTAGGACTATTTAGTGAACTTGGTGTCAAGGTTAAACTTCCTATAACCTTGGTATGTGACAGTAAAGCTGCAATCCAAATTGCAGCAAATCCAATCTTCTATGAAAGGACAAAACATATTGATATAGACTGCCACTTTGTGAGGGGAAAATTAAGTCAAGGTATGGTGAAAACTGAGTATGTCAACACTGCGAATCAACTAGCAGATATACTTACAAAAAGGCTTGGAAAGAGCTCAACATGTGCATTTGTTGAACAAGCTGGGGTTGAAGAATATTTGTATCAACCATCGGCTTGAGGAGAGTGTTAATCAACATGGTTAACCTTAATTTATTTATAAAGTGTAATGCTAAACCATAGTTAGTGAGTTAGTTAAGAAAGTTAGTTTGAGTTTGTTGTAAGTGGTGGTTGTTTGTACAGTTAGTCCGCAACTTCTCTTTTTGAAATGAAGATTGCTCTTCTCTCATTTCCTCTCTTCTAGATTCTTCTTCTCCTTCTTCCTCTTAGCTCAAAGCTCTCGGCTAACAAATACTCGGTATGTTGTCGTCGTCGAAGTGAACGTTGGTTTTGGAAAACCTAAAAACTGTCAGACATCAAATTTAGTCGCCCAAGAAGGTAAGATCAGTGTTTTTAACATTAGGCTAAAAATCTAGTTCTAGTTC